GGGGGCTGGGGCAGAGTGGGGGTGGGGATGGAGAGAAGTGGGGTAGAGGGCAGGTAGGGAGAGCAGGGGTTGGGAAGCAGAGCACCCAGCCTGCAGCTCTGAGTGGGCACTGTTCCCTGCTTTCTACCTTTTCAGGCTGCTTTCTCTGGCCATGAGTTGTGGGGCAAAACAAGAACTTGAGATGAAACTGCTCCTTTCAGAGTTAAAAACAAAACCTCAAGGGCAAAACAGGTATTTCACGGTGTTGTTCTAAGTTGCTGTGCATCCATCTCTGTATTCTCTACATTGTTCATCTTAGAGGAGCGCCTGTGAACCGGGGGGCTGAAACCACAAAGCAGGTGAGAGCATCCAGGAATGTGGGAAACTTGGGAAGCTGAATTTGGAAGTTAGAGCAACTCAAAAATCAAAGGAAAGACTGGATCAGGACCTAGAACCATAAGGAAGACAACCCTGCAAGCAGCCACAGCATGATCACACTCTTGCTGCAGTTCCAGGCACCCTGTAATTTGCCCTTTTCCTCTTTCCTGACAGGACTTTCCAGGAGCACTTACATCCTTGAGGTGAATATTATCAAGGTCACAGTTGCTGTGCACTGTTTCAACCAACCAGCCTTCAGGAGTAATCATGTTGAGGGTTAGAAGGGGCGCTTCAGGGATATCCAAGAATGTTGCCACGGGTCCAGTAATGCCGTTAGCCACTAACACCAGCTCTGGTTCCAGAACAAAACGATAAAAGCTGTCAAAAGAACATAAATAAAAATACATACTGTGACCAAAATTGAGGTTTCTTCTGTAAACATGACCAAAAAGTCTCACGTTAAAAAAACCAAAACACACTATACTGCAGAAGAGTTAATGCTTATAAACAGTAGACAATCATCTACTATAAGATTATATATATTATATATCCTTGTTAATTATTCCTTAATGAACACGATTAGAATGCCTTTAACATATACTGACTTATGTCTGTTCTGCTAGTTTATGATCTGTATTTGCTCACTGATCCTTCTTCAGATTTGACCATGGTCCATTTTTCAGCCATTTTATTGGATCCTAGCACCACTAATCATATGAAGAGAAATGATAACCAGAAAGCAATTAAATGCAAGCAAATTAAAATTCTGGTAAAAGTTCAGTTAAAAACAGGACTGAGTTGAAAACAGCTGCTTATTAACAGAGCTTTAGTGTATTTTGGCCTTATCCCCCAATGAAGAATTAGCTTTATTACTATAAAGAATCGTGACTTTCACTATTTGGAGACAGCAGTCAAGGTGTCAGCTGTGCTGTAGTCAGCTCCAGCCCCTCCCCAGGGGAGGGGACCCACGTTGAGGCCGGTGCAGTGACCCCCTAGGGCCACTGGAAAAAGGACTGCAGCTGGTTACGGCGGCTGTCTGCAGTGTGCTCTCGGGTCCTCACCACAAGGGCCCCTTCAGCTCGCTCGGTCAGAGAAGCACGCAAGAGCAAGAGCTGGAGAATGCCAGCAAGACACCAGTCACAGCCTTTTATAACCTAGTTGCTGAGGAGACCTTCCATTACTTTCACCTCGTGCTTTCCATGAGAGGCAAATCACCAGCTGCAGCCCAAGCTCAAGGAGAAGCTACAGAGCGGATGAATCCCAGGAGACCACGATCCCCGGCAGCCATGTCCAAAGCTGCCTACTGCAGGCAGGCAGAGTGAAAGGGAAGAGGGGTAAGAGGAGACATGGGAGAGAAGGGAGCCATAAAGAAAATGAACAAAACAAATACTCGGTACCGTCCAATGCAGCGGAAATGTCAGAGTAAGAAGTATTCCAAGGATGCTGCCAACAGCAACATGTCTGTGATTTAGTAAAAACAATCCAGCAGCAAAGAGGAAGTTAAAGGCAAGCTGCAGGGGGAGGTACAGTGAATGAGAGATGAACGGGGGTATGAGTAATCTGTGAAGAAGCCGTGAAGAGAAAGAATGCAGAAGAGGAGAAAAAGTCAGGGCTCCAGGGAGAGGAAATTAAGAGAGCAGTTTATTTCTCTTTTTAAATTGAGTAACTCCCAGGATGGAAAGAAACGGGCTGGCAGAGAGGTTAAAGATATGGAACAAAGGGACTATGTGATGAAGGAAGGCTCCAGAACAAGTGGGAAAGCACAGGCTCAAACAGAAAGGGAGGGTTGGCAAGAGGAGAGAGAGCACCCCCTGCCGCTGCCTCGGAGGAAGGCTGGACACACAAGAGACGAGAGACGACAGACGCAGGAGGAAGCTGCCCATGACCTCTCCCCGCTCTGAGAAGGATGGGGTAGTATTCTAAAAAGTAAAGGCCTGGGGATCAATAAGTTATCTTGTTGGCTTGATCGATGCTACTGAGCCAATAATGCTCCTTTGAGTTCACAGTTCCAAACCAGTTTCACAGTTCTTGTGCTGTGCAGAATCATTAACCACTCAAAGTATTAAGGGTCATTTCACCTTAGAGAGGTCAAGTTCTTTCCCTAATGGATTATGCTTGCTTATGTTCAATATTCCTACTCTTTATTATATAATCCAAAGCTTTATAGAGATACTATTGAGAAGATCTCTACTTGTATGAAGAAAAATTCTCTACTCAGAAAGCTAACAGACCTCTCAGTTAGTGGCTAAAATAAGATGAGAGCTTTTGTTTGGATTTGGGACATGATAAAATTTGAAATACACAAGATAAATGAGAAGTCGGAGAATAACATGAATGAAATATGAGGACAAGAGTCTCAGGAAAGGAATAAATGTACCCTAAACTTTCATCTAAATTCTCTACATTTCCCATTTTATTGCTTTCCAAATATTAAAAATATTTGCCATGTTTAAAATATCTGCTCGAGGCAATAATCTCTGGTATGGTTATCAATTATAACAAATACAATTTTATAAGTAAACAAGGGATTAACTGAGTGCAACTCTTCGGTCTTGTGTTTGCATATATTCTTTTAGAGCTACATAATTACATTATACATTTAAGAAAAGCATATTAACAAGCTCTTTTTCTGCACCATGACACCTGAAGGATACTGTATATCCCTATCAGTAAAAGTGGCTCAAAATGATACCGATTCTGATCCTGAAAGAGGAGGAAGGGTATATTTCTGTCCCTACTTGAGAGACAATGTTATTTCTTTTTCTTTTTCTTTTTCTTAAAGATTTTATTTTACAGAGAGAGACAAAGCGAGAGAGGGAACATAAGCAGGGGGAGTGGGAGAGGGAGAAGCAGGCTTCCCGCCGAGCAGGGAGCCCGATGCAGGGCTCGATCCCAGGATCCTGGGATCATGACCTGAGCCGAACGCAGACGCTCAATGACTGAGCCACCCAGGTGCCCTGAGAGACAATGTTATTTCAACAGCACATTATTAATGTGGAATATCTGCATACAACAATAAACATTTTCTATATTATTGAAAGATTATTTTACACTAATTACATCTCAGTACTCCCAAATAATGAGATGATATCCTAAAGATCATTTTCGTAAGTCAGCTCTAAAATATTGAAAATATAGCTAAACAGGGGCCTCTGTGGGGCTCAGTCGGGTAAGCGTCTGCCCTCAGCTCAGGTCATGATCCCAGGGTCCTGGGATTGAGCCCCATGTCAGGCTCCCTGCTCAGTGGGAGTCTGCTTCTCCCTCTCCTTCTGCCCTCCCCCCACCCCCTGCTTGTGCTCTCTCTCGCTTTCTCAAATAAATAAAATCTTTACAGACAAAAAAAGGAAAATATTGCTAAACCAAAAATGGTTTCATTCAACTTTATTTTCCTCTTGTGTATTTCCAAATAGGTATTCCTAGATCACATTTTCAAAAATACCCATGGACAAACATAAATCCTTGTAAATTCTGCAATTAGATTAGATCAATCTTACTGCTTAGGTTATTTTAGTTTTATATCAATTAAGGTTAGTAAATTATCCTTGATCTTCTGGTCTATTTCAATTAAGCATCTTATGAAGAAAAAACCAAACCCAGTAATTATGGTCCTCTTTTTATTTTTGGTCTTAGCATTTGCAAACCTTTTGAAATGAAATTATGTTCACTTAGACTCACCTCTTTAAAGGGGCTTCTGAAAGCTTACCCCTACAGTTCATGAACAATTTTATCTTCATGTTGATAATCTTGCCAAGTACCTATTAGAAAAAAAATTCCCATATTTGATATTAAGTAATCTTACTAACATTTATTAAGCATTTACTATGTACCAGGCACTGTGTTCACACTTGATACTCATTATCTCATGTGATCCTCACGACAGCCTTCAGAGGTAGCTACCTTCACAGCTGAGACACAGAGAGATGTGGTAATTTGCCCAAGATCACACAGTAAAAGTCATGGCAGAGGTCAGATTTGAATCCAAACAGCTAATTTCATGGCTCAAGGGTTATGCTGCCTCCCTTTTGCCTCATGTGACTGTCTTTCATGGTATATAAATTTCTTTAGCATTGAAGGACAAGTAAAGTAATTGCTAGAACCATGACGTGCAAATACAGAGTGGTGGCCTCCCAGAAACAATGGCGAGGGTACCCCCGTCCGTTCTGAATTCCACCCACATGGTAGGGATGTAGGAAGTTCCTGGCTACATATGGATGAAAGACTCTCTTTTTTATTTCCCTGGGGCATATGACATAGAAGAGTTATTAATTTTGGTAGTCTCTATCTCTAGGAAGGCAAGTCTGTGCAGATTTGAAAGATATTAGACAACAAAGGACATAGGTAAAGAGAGAAGGGAAAAAACAGGCGCATGGAACAGAAAGGACGCAAGCTTGAGAAGGAATTAGGACAGAGGACTGAAGAGCTCTGATTCTCATTCTTCACTCTACGTATTTGCTACAATGGAGGTTGCTGAGCCAATGTTTTTCCCAAGTGTTAAGTGAGACCCTATCCACTTTTTCTAATAAATTAATTTCTCTTTTATAGCATAAGTTTTCTTTATAGTAAGAAATAATAAATTATGTGAGGTGCTGAGGTGCTCAGGAAGACTGTTATTATTTCCAATCATGTAAACTGGGATCCAATCCCATATTTTATATTTCTGTATAATCTCTTATTTCTTATTCCTAAATTCTATCTTTACCTAAAAACTTCAGAGGTAAGCAATGTTTTTTTCTGAATAACGACTCTGTAGAAACAGGGTGTGTGTAGACTATAATGTATCATACTAGCTCCACTCCTTACGGGTATGATTACTAATTGCTGTTCTCTAAAGAATAATCTGAATAATGTGTCTCCAGAAGTTCAAATTTGAAGGTGTACAAATGGTAAAAGAAAGGACGGGGTAAGTAAACCAACTATGGAATTATTTACCCTGGTTATACACTAAATAAGTAGAATGGCAAAGATTTTCCAAAATTATTTGTCCAAACAATTATAAGAGCTATCGATAATCCCTTTTTCCAGTATGGTTTGGCAGGGCAAACTAATTTGAGAGAAACTGCAGGCTGAAATTTCGCCGGCATGTATACCCATATGACCCAGCTTGATCCCTCCCTTACAGAGTCCATGAGACTTAATGTCTAATCACTTTTGCCTGTTTCCAAAAGTGAGGCCAACTGTCAGAGGACAAATGGTTTCCACTTGAGAATGTTTTTTTTAAATATGTCTTTAAAAGAACCACGGAGTAATTTCAAATAGGAATACCCCAAAATTTTGAACATCACTAGAAAAAATATATAGATTTCCAGTGTAACTAGCTTATGTGATTTACCCGCTGAAAGCTGCATCACAATGTGAACCTCTCAAATTTTCAGTATAATGAAAAAACACATAATCTCCTTTCAGAGTCAGCTAGCTCCCCCCAGTGCTCCTTCTCTCTGCTTTCTCAGTGAATGAATGTTCAGCTTCATGCACAGCTTCTGGTCTCCCTGGTGTCTAGGTGCAGCTGCGTGACTTGCTACATTCTGGTCTGTGAGATGTGACAGGACGGAGTATGCTCTTGTTGTCTCCTTCCTGCTCGCAGAAACAGAGGAGAGGAGCCTGATGAGTGATCTCAGACCATGAGCCAGGAGGAGCTTCACGAAGATGACTGAACCACCAGACAGAAGTCGCCTGCGTCCTCATGCTGTGGAGCTGCCTTAGTCACTCCAGGCAGCTCACGCTTGGACTGTGAGATGAGAAAAATAAACTCCAGTCTTGAAGCTACTGTTACTGCGGCCAGACTTACTGAACACAACCTTCACTCACCTATTTGGCTATTGTTACTTATTAGATCATCGGCTTCTCCAGAAGCCATTCTTCAGAACTCAAGACAGGATGAAGAGGGGAATTAGGATGAATTAGCTCAAAATGCTGTCATAAAATACCACAGACTGGGTGGCTTAAGCAACAGAAATGTACTTATTTTAGATCAAGATGCTCGCTGATTTGGTTTCTGATGAGCGCTCCCTTCCTGGCTTGTAGGCAGCCCCCATGTTGTGGTGCGCTCCCATGACCTCTTTGTGTGCGTGAGGAGAGAAAGGGATCTCTCTCCCTTCCTCTTCTGTGAGGCTATAAATCCTACTGGATTAGGGCCCAAGCCATAAAACCTTATTTAACCTTAATTACCCTCCAAAAGGCCCCGTTTCCAAATACAGTCACAGTAGGGGTGAGGGCTCCAACATACAAATTTCAGGGGAGGCAGGGGACAATAATTAAGTCCACAGCAACACCTAACCTTGGGACTGCCATAACACCCCAGGCATAGCTCTACCATTTCATTTTCTACATTGAGAATATGACACGCTAATTAAAAGCTGCACAGATTAAAGCATCAAGAACACAAATACTTGAAAAGAGACCTGAAAGATTAATTATAAATTTCAAAATGAAAATACATAATAAAATGATATAGAAAATATATAATAAAAACATATTATCTTACAATCAATAACTGAGCCATTTTCTGTGCTTCTCTTGTCAATGGATCAACAATAGCAATGACATCAAAGAACATGTCATTCTCTTCAGGGTTTATCGTTATAATGCTAGGAAAATAGAAAATAAGATGAAAGATGATCAGTTAAATTAATTATCTAATAAGTCGTAGTCTCAGCTATATACATTCCCTTTTTTTTTTTTTTTTTTTTTAAGTAATCTCCATCTCCAACATGGGGCTTGAACTCACATCCTTGAGATCAAGAGTCACATGCTCTGCGGACTGAACCAGCCAGGCGCCCCTGAGCTATATGCATTCTTATAAATGGCTTTTTTTTCTCAAAAAAAAAAAATTGCTTTCTTTCTCACTGGATTAAAAAAAATCCTGGTTACTTCACGGATGAAAATGCAAATTTATTTATTTTTAATTCTAAGTTTTTATTTTAATTCCAATTAGTCTACATATAGTGTAATACTAGTTTCATGTATAGAACTGAGAGATTCAACACTTACATACAACACCCGGTACTCATCACAGCAAGTGCCCTCCTTAATGTCCCTCACCTACTTAAACCCATCCCCCCACCCACCTCTACTCTGGAAACCATCAGTGTGTTCTCTATAATTTAGTCTGTCTCTTGGTTTGCCTTTTTCCCCATGCTATGTTCATCTGTTTCTTAAATTCCACATATGAGTGAAATCATACAGTATCTGTCTTCCTCTGACTGCTTTATTTCACTTAGCATAACACCCTCTAGTTCTATCCACATCCTTGCAAATGGCAAGATTTCATTCTTTTTGATGGCTGAATAATATTCCTGTGTGTGTGTGTGTGCGCACCACTTACAAATCAAAAGTGATATATATATATATATCACTTACAAATCAAAACCACAATGAGATACCACCTCACACCAGTCAGAATGGCTAAAATTAACAACACAGGAAACAACAGATGTTGGGGAGGATGCAAAGAAAGAGGAACCCTCCTACACTGTTGGTGGGAATGCAAGCTGGTGCAGCCACTCTGGAAAATGCAAATTTAAAAGCCTAACGTTTGTGTTCAATAAATTACAAAACTGTAAAGAATCAGAGAAAATGAAAGATTTTATGAATGAGTGACTTTTAAAAACTCTTCAAAGAACAATACTATTACAGTGAAAACTAATTTTAACCCCCCCAAAATTCTCATGGATCACACAATATTAAAAAATAAAGCCAAGATAACTTTCGTGTTTGTTGAATGCATTTTCTCAGATTTGAGAATAAAATTAACTCTTCAGTAGTTTTATTAAATTTAGTATTTAAAAAATCCCAACATATAACAGGAAAGTTCAGGGGGAAAAAAGCCCAAATTTATCATACTTATTTTTGACCCCAGTCACCCTCTCCTAACCTCCTGCCCTCAGTCTCCTTCCTTGTGTCTTTCACTGAACTAAATTCTAAGTTAGAAGATGGAATAATCTTTACTGAGAAATGTTGGGGAAATTAATAAAAGCACAGAAAATGCCAGTGGAAGATAATAAATTCGATATTTACTGTAATCAAAAGTTAAAAGTATATATTTGACTAAAAGTACAGAATATTCCAACTGAATTACTATTTTAACATTGTAAACAAGAAGTCAGTTTTTCAAAATGTATGAATTAAATATCTTACATATTACAAAGGGAAAAAGATTTCCAAATCAAAATGTATACCTGTAAAATTACAGGGACATTAGTCTTCTTTGATGCAGGAAGACTATAAATATCTAGACTTTTTGCAGTGAAAGGATTAATTTCTCAGCAATAAAAGCTAATGTAAAAGTCACTTCAAATATGGGTCCTCTGAGAAAGAAACAAAAGACATTTTATTTTATATGCAGTTGACATGATTTGATTTTGCTAAAACAGGAGTGACAGAATCAGACAACAGGTCCTGCCAGATAACTACTGCTAAAGACTACAAATCAGATGTTTTAAAATTAAAGGGCCTATCTACAGTGGTTAATGATGTTAGTAATCTTGGTGAAAATTTCACAAATTACTTCCATACTTGTAGCATTATTCAAAACTGGTCATTTTCTGTATGCTTTATGAGATGGTATGGTGGCCAAAGTAGGCATCTGTTTACTCAGACTACTGCCAATTCTGTGAGGTGGTATGTATCAGAACCCCAGAGTGCCTATCATCTACCTCTCTGTGCATTGGTATAGACTCAGGACAATTTTCTGAGCAGAATCCTGAGCCTATCAGTAGGTATTACATTGATTCATCTAAGAATGGAAGTAGGAGGTCTCTTTCCTCACACAATATCAACAAAAAGATGCTAACTCTACCTACACCACCTTTTTAAGGCAATGGATTTGTATTCAATTGTCAAGAAACTATTGCTATACTTCATGCCAATAGCCAGGAAGAATAATGCCAATTACGCTGACAGTCAATAATTATTAAAAGCTTAAGTCAGAGAAAGCCATGAAGGGCAGCTTCAGGTATGTGCAGTCTGTCAAGTCTTAGAGATAAACTAAGGACATTTCAAACAGGCCATAGCAATGAGAAGTTACTACTCAGCCAATATCCTATCCATTCCATGCAGAGTTGTTTTACTGAATTAAATGATCAGTTTTTTATAAAGACAGGTCAAACTGTCTATTTTAAAGATGTTGTTGAAAACACTATTCATCCTATAGTATTCCCTCTGTGAAGATTTCTCAGAGAAGTTTCTGTGTCCTCCCTCTTCTTAAAACAGTTACATTTCACCTGAACAACTCATTTATTTTCATTTGTGAACTCTGTGAACCGTGTACACTGGAAAACTTACAGTTAAATTTGGGGTGTGGCATGGCAGGCAGAAAGGCCGGTCATCCCGGCCTTAAAACCTCCTCTCCTGCCTGCCTGCCCTGTGAGCTTCAAGCTCTAGAATCAACAGCCTTAGAGGGACGGCTTCACCAGCTCTCACAACTGTGTAAGGGCAAACCCTACAACAATTCTTGTATAAATAAATCAGTTCTCATCTACACACCCCCATATGCGTACGCGTGTGCGTGCACGCATACTCACACACATGCACACATTCGCAGCATCTCTGCAGCTCTGACTGAGCCCTGACTGGACAGTCCAGCATTGCTAATGTGATCCTCTCTACTTTTCCTACGGTTCCAACACAAATCAAATCCAACAAAGTCATTCTTTCTTCATTAAATTAATACCTTCAATTAGGTTATCATTAAGTTTTGCTGGCCTGGATCCTACTTTTAAGGTGGGTATTCACATGTCTCCCCCCAGATTGATGTGAGTTGATTTTATGGTTTAACTTTCAAGTCCAATCCTCTTTCTCTTATTTCCAAGTTTCATTATTTGTCTACAAATACACATAATAGCTGCAATGCATTAATTATCTATTATATTCAAGGCAGTAGGTCTGAGTCTCATAAAACCCTTGTAGGGTAGGAATCAACACTATATTTTATAGATTAAGAAACTGAAGGAATAAGAGGTTACAGGGCTATGGTAACTGGGATTCAAAAACTGGGTGTTTGGACAAGAAAGCTCATGCTATGTCACACGACCAATGCTGACCTAGATAAACATATCAACATGGGTAACCACATAGAAAAAAAGGCTAAATGCCTAAATTATGTCCATGAACTCAGAAAATGGCAAATTACTAACTCTGCATGTTTCAGAAGGCAGGCATTAGGTGAGGATATTTATTGTATAAACAGAGAGGCATGCCAATACATACATGTTACATGCCCATTTATAAATATTTATAGTAATGCCCCAGAAATAACAGAAAAAATTGGAGAATTGCAGACCACTGTCACAAAGTCCCATCATACTCTTCCACCTTCCATTTCTAGAAAATAAGGCAGTAGGCTTAAAAGCAGCAAATGCATTGACAGATGTGAAAGGTAGAGAAAGAAAGTCAAGACTAACCGACAATAAACTATAAAAGATCAAATGTATCAGACATTTAACACAGGCATAAGTAAGTTCCAAATGTACCAAAATTCCTAAGTATAATATAGCTTCATGGAACAGTCTGGTGACTAATGTTTACAATGACGATTTTGAGTAATCTGTGTTAAATTATTTCAGCGCATGGTATGCAGAAGTCAAAGATGTTTGTAAGAAGAATTCCAGGAGATGTGTTTAAAAATACAAGTACTGAATCTCAGCTATCTGAAAACAATAAAACTTCCTTTCCAACAGTGCTACTTTCTTTAGAAAGTAATCTTCCCCGAGTTTACTCCTGCGTGTGTGTAAAGACCTCTCTCTAAAGACAGACGCCCTGCAGCTAAAGCTGGTGTTAGTGCTGGAGGTACGGATGAGCAACCTAAGACAGCATCTGCCATAAAACCAGCAAACTTACGAGGGAGTGTTAGCCATTCCGAGTCTGTGCTAAAGTGTTTGTCTCAGTTGAGTTTTATAGGAGCGGTGATTAGAAAAAGATCATATAAGGGGCGCCTGGGTGGCTCAGTCTTTTAAGCATCTGCCTTCGGCTCAGGTCATGGTCCCAGGGTCCTGGGATAGAGCTCCGCATTGGGCTCCTTGCTCCGCGGTAAGCCTGCTTCTCCCTCTCCCACTCCCCCTGCTTGTGTTCCCTCTCTCGCTGTCTCTCTCTCTCTGTCAAATAAATAAATAAAAAATCTTAAAAAAAAAAAAGATCATATAATAAAACATGCCCATAGTTTAATCCTATGATGTCTATTTTTTCCCCAATTCTATGTGGTCTGTAATTAAAAACAACAGAAAAGGTTCTCTTCTGGGGACACAGATAATTGTATGTATGTAGACAAAGCTTGGTGAATTTCATTTCGACTATCTTAGAGGAACTGTGTAATATAGTGAGATTACACACTAGCTTATTATCCCAAAACAGTATTTCTCTGATGGCTGCCTTCGGAAATCTAATCTTCATGAAATAATTTTTAACCAAAAAGTGTTCCATGGATAAGCAAGTTGCACAACTGCTGAATTAACCAAAAACGAACTTTTCTTTCACCTTTAAGTAGATCACATCTCATAACTGTTAATATATTGATGCATACTGAAAATCTCTCCCTATCCCTTCCCAAGAATGCAGTGTTCTCTAAACTTACTTGACCAGAGAACAGTTTTCCTCTCAGAATATATGTGTCAACATCTCAGAGTAGTGTTCCATTGAACACATCTTGGACACGTTATTGTACATGTCTACATTTTATTTATTTATTCATTTACGTAATCTCTACACCCAGTGTGGGACTTGAACTCACAACCCTGCGATCAAGAGTTGCATGCTCTTCCGACTGAGCCAGCCAGGCGCCCCCAAATTATTAATCAGAATTCTTTAGTAACTGAATCTTTTATACATTGAGAATATAAACATATTATTTATATATAATGATAATCCCAAGATACTGCAAAAATTCCAAATGATCTTGAACAAGAAAGATAATAAAACAAATTATACTAGATAGAACTTACTTGAAGCTTCAGATCCTTACACATCATCCTTTATTTACTAGAATATATAATTAACTGGAATTTCTTTTCCTAATCTTGTCAAATACATTTCTTCTCTAACAATTTTTAATTCTACTTTAAGTTCTGCTATATTATAAATACAAATGGAAGCCATAATTGAGTATGGGATGCAGTGACAGGAAAAACACAGACATTATGTTCTTACCTGTGATTCTCTCTAAGAAATGTGATATCATGGCGAGATGCACGTTTAGGCAAAGAGGAAAGAAGGGCATCAGCTTTCATAACAAGGTCGCTCATGCTAGATAAACGAGACAATGTGTGAGTTTTCAAAGGAGAAAGGTCCACATTTCATGTTACAATTAATGCCCTGAGAAAAGGAAATTGAATTTTAAAATATCTCCAATAGACAAGCTTTACGTAAATAACTTTTCTTCCAAACTTGTTGGTAATTTGTCAGTTTAAAGAGGACTGTTGCTTTAAAAACCATCCTGCTTTTCCTTATCATTGATACGATCTTTAAACACTTGTAATTGGTGTTCTCAGCAGTGTCCATAAGCATATGGTGAATCATTCAATTCAAGGCAATATTTGCTGAGTGCTGGTTATGTGTCCAAGCAGTGGGGCCCACACAGGAAAGAAAGGGCAGGAAGATCCAAAAAGGGGGAGTTTTTAATATAATTAAATATAATTAAAATATAATTAATATAATTAATATAATTAAGAAGTCCAGACCTCTATGGTCACAAATTAGTTTGAAAACTAATTAAAACTGCATAAAATACCTAGATTACATACAACCAAATTTGAAAATCCATGATGGAGGAAATATATTTTATGTTCATTGATACACTGGGGCAGAAAATGTTGGCTGAACCTTAAGACAAGTTTTTGGAAAGAAAAGGAAAAAGAAAAGAAAGAATAAGCACTTCCATTTTATAAAGAAATTTAGATTCCGAGTGGTTGAGAACCTGTGTCTACTATACCATTTTTTACTGGACTATCAGGTTCTGACATGTAGGACTTTGCTTAATGGCCACTTAATAAACATAAATAAAATGAATGAATTAATCGAAACCAGTCTCTATAATCTCTATTTGTAAACTCCCTCAAAGGTATTTTATCAGCTACATACTCTCTAATATGTGAAATTGGAGGCACAATGCAGGAAATGTGGTCAAACATGCTCCCCACGTTTCAAGGAGACCAGATGCACTGAGAAGAAGAAGAAATGAGGAAAGGGAAATTTGGGGCCCAAACAGCATTTTTGTAGATTCTCTGAATATTGTGGTATCCAGGTTGTTTTTTCTCTTTTTGCCAAGAACTGAAGAGGGGAACGGGCACGAGATGCTCCGCGCCTCCTGTCTGAGGAGCGGGGACCTCTCTGAGAGCCGAGCAAGAAGTAAGCACTCTGCTACTGCATGTATCACGTGCTCCTGGGGAGGTTTCCAGGGACTCCGCCTTCTGCATCCAGAGTCTACCTTCCTAGTTCACCAACTCTTGGAAAGCATGAAAACAAGGCCGCAGATCTTAAGCATATGTTCATATTAAAGCAACTATGAATTTATTCAACCACAGCACGACTTGTTCAGCATTGTGTGTGTGCATGCGACAACTTCAGACAATTAGAGGGGATGTTCTTATAGTTTAATGTTATTGATTTTTATTGTTTGGGTGGTGGTTTTGCTCTGAAATGCACCTTTAAAGTAGCTGAAATAGCTTCTCAAGCCTACTTAAAACTGTATTTTTTACCAAATAAGGTTAAAAAAATTAGCTCTGAAATGTTAACTCGTGTCAGTCCCACACTCCAGTTACCACAGCTTTATAATAAATTTTGATACTGGAGAGCAGAAATTCTCTCTTCTGCCTCTTCTTCAAAATTGTGTTGACTGTTTTTGGCTACTTGTTTTTCTGTATAAATACGATTAGGACCAGCATAACAAGTTCCATAAAAAATGTTCCTGGAATCCAATAACTACTGAATTATACACTTTCCAACATATACTAGACCTAAATTATTTAACTAAAAATTATAACTTTTTTTTCTTTTTAAAGCTTTCTTTAGTTTTACTCCACTTGAAAATAACTGTGGATTTTTTTTTAAAAGATTTTATTTATTTATTTGACACAGAGAGAGCACAAGCAGGGGGAGCGGCAGGCAGAGGGAGAGGGAGAAGCAGACTCCCTGAGGAGCAGGGAGCCTGACGCGGGGCTCGATCCCAGGGTCCCAGGATCATGACCTGAGCCGAAGGCAGACGCTTAACCGACTGAGCCACCCAGGCGCCCTGAAAATAACTGTGGATATTATCTCTTTACTGTAGAAAAGCCCTTACTTTATGACTTTATTTATAATTTTCTATATCATTTCCTAGCTGATGAATTACGTCCTAGAGGACAGATTAAGTAAGGACATACATTTCATCTGCATCAGAATTCTGTATTCAAGACTAAGAATCAGAACTTTGAGTTCTGGCAGGAACCACCTCAAAGCCTAGCTGTATGCTACACGATGCAGTGGTACTCTGAAGTAAAGAACAGAAAAAGATGTAACAGAAAAACACTAACACAAAAGAACACTGAGGCGGCTTAAATATAAGATGCCACAGACTTTAAGACAAAATAAATACTAGGAAAGGAGTAATTTATTTAATGATAAAAGGAACAATTCACTAGAAACGTAACAGTTCTGAATCAGGGTATATATGACTATAGCTCAAAATATTTAAACAAAAATTGGCAAAGTTATAAGAATTAAATGATAGATCCATAATTCTAGCAGTGTTTTAACAAACTTCTTTTAGTAACTGACAGATAAAACAAGGTATTCAGTATTTCGATGGCTGGAAAAAAACCAGCATGTTCAGTATGATAGACATGTATAAAATCTTCCACATAATTAGAAAATATGCTTTTAAAAAAATCAAGCATGAGACAATGGTAAGAATGAACCCTGTCTCACAAAATTCAGAGAAATAAATACTAAGTAACTGGTTCATACACCATGTTCTCTAATCACAGTCCAAAACAAACTGGAAATCACACACTGTGCCATTTAAAAAATTTAAAGCACATCTTATTCATTTATTTATATGATAAATATTTACTGGGTGCCTAACAAGATCTAGGCAGAATTCTATATAGAGAAGATAAAAACAATAAAATAGACCACGAATTTTGCCTTGATGAAGCCAACAATTTTAAATATTTTAAAACATCTTAAAAAATAAATGTTAAAAAATCAAAACAGAAATTTGAACATATTAGCACTGATTCATAATGAAATATTTATATTTTAAAACTTATGTGATACAACTAAATAAGTGTTTAGAGAGATGCTTTAAGCTGGTAATTTAAGGATATATAAGGAAAAAATGTGATATTAATAAGCTATGAATTCAACCTGAGAAGTTTATAAAAGAAAACGGATTAAAGAGAAATAACAAAGAACTGAAACTGATAAAAACAAAACAAAAACAATTGGGAGGTTGCCATGTTCTATATCCACATATATGAAAAGTAAAAAAATAAATTAGTAAAGTAGTTAAGTCTAGTAAAATAGATATATCTTTCACTAAATTAAGCAAACTAAGATAAGAGAAAGGCCAACATAAATGAGATGTTTAAAAGCTGGAAGCTAAAAAAAATAAAATAAAATAAAAATAAAAAAATAAAAGCTGGAAGCTAAGGAACAAAGCTGTTAAAATTCACAAATGACAGGAGTGTCTAATATTTGAAAAAATGTTACAAAAATTGAGAGTCAAGCAAGGAATAACGATATAGAACCTAATATTGTTCCTGTAATTTAGCATTAAACAATTTGAAAATGTAATTTAAAATACACCATTTACAATATGAACTAAAAGCATAAAGTACAAGGGAATAAATCCAAAAATACATATGTAAGTCCTCATGGGAAATAAATAGAAGCTTCACTGAAGGACCCAAAAGGAACACTAAGTAAGTGTATGTAACTATCTACCTATTCTCATATATATGTTTATATATAAATTATATACCACAATTATATAACACATCATCAGTTATATACATTATTTTATATATTATATTAAATTGTATATACTGTATTATACATTTATATAGCTATATACAAACAATACATGTCTATATTTAATAGATGGGTAATTTAATATTATATAAAGATGGCAATTCTCCTTAAACTAATCTATAAACTCAAAGAAATTCCCATAAAAATTCCAAGAACATTTTTTATGGAACTTGTTATGCTGGTCCTAATCGCTTATACAGAAAAACAAGTAGCCAAAAACAGTCAACACAATTTTGAAGAAGAGGCAGAAGAGAGAATTTCTGCTCTCCAGTATCAAAATTTATTATAAAGCTGTGGTAACTGGAGTGTGGGACTGACACGAGACAGTATACCAGTGGAACAGAATAAAGATCCAAGAAGAATTAAAGATATAAACCAGTAAAAAAAAAACTGTAAAATTTTTAGAGGAAAATAAAGGAGAATATCTTTATGAACTCAGGCTAGAGAAAACTCTTATACATCTCACACACACACACACACACTTGTGCGCGCAGACCACAGACAAGCTATGAAGGAAAAATCCTGATAATATTTTGGTATTGAAATTAAAAACGTCTATGTATCTGGTAAAAAATTACAATAAAAAAGTAAATAGCCATGTCACAAACTGTAATATAATATGTGAGGCACATATAACTGACAAAGATTAGTATACAGAATCACAGAAAATATTTATATATCATTAAAAGAAGAAAATAACCCGACAAGTAAGCAAAAGACAGGTACGAGTATTTTACAGAAGAGTAAACATGAATGAAAATAATTGTATGAAAAGATACTCAACTTTACTAAAAGTCAAAGAAAAGCAAATTAAAAAAGACACAATTTCACATCCACCAGATAGAAAAAATTAACAAGTCAGATAACACCAAGTATTGGTAAGAACCTGGGGAAACAGAACCTTCACATTTCTGGTGGAAGTGTTAATTATTGCAACTATTTTAAAGGACAGAATTTAACAGTATCTGGTAAAGCAGAGGACATGCATACCCTACAACCCAACGGTAACACTCCTGTGCTCTAGAGAAACTCACATTGCACAAGGAGACATACATTTATTTATTTATTTAAAAGATTTATTTATTTATTTATTTGACACAGAGAGAGACAGAGATAGTGAGAGAGAGAGCACAAGCAGGGGGAGCGGCAGGCAGAGGGAGAGGGAGAAGCAGGCTCTCTGCTGAGCAAGGAGCCCGATGGGGGCTGGAGCCCAATGCGGGGCTCGATCCCGGGACACTGGGATCATGACCTGAGCTGAAGGCAGCCACTTAACTGACTGAGCCACCCAGGCGACCCGCACAAGGAAACATTTAAAGCTGGTTCATTATAGCATTTCTGTAACAGTAAAAAACTAAAGCCAAGTTAACTGTATCTCAGTATTGGACTTTATAAATGAACTACAGTATATTCATTAAATGAAACACTAAAAAGGAACTAAAATGAAGAAACTAGCTCTACATACATGAACGTAGATAAAGCTCCAGCAGAAGTTGCAAAGGAGCCTACAGTAAATAGCATTTCTCTATAAAAGTCAGGCATTCAACACATCAACACTGATCATGGATATTCACATAAGAAGCAAAAGCACAAACACAAATATGGAATCATGCACACAACACTTAGGAAAATGGTTACCACTCAGGGAGGATGGAGACTGGCTGGGTGGGTAAGAAACAAAGAGGACTTAACATCTATGGTTTGGTGATGGTGAGTATATGGAGGCTTTTCGTTATTTAAATATTCTCCACATATCTCTTATTATATCTTATGTACATATTTGAAACATTTTCTAATCTTAAAAAGAAAAAATAAGATGCAAAATATAACCCCCCCAAAATGAATTGCTCTTATGATTTTAAATACTTACTTCTTTGAGCTGATTTCCATATTTTCAACAATGCCTTCAATTTTCTCTACTAGATTAGTAAATGTTATTTTTTCCAAGAAGTAAAAATCTTCTGTATAGAAATTTTCATCTAAAGGTCCTAAGAACTTAAAATGAAAATAGTTTTATTATTGTATATCTTCTAGAGGATACCAGTTTGGGACAAATATTTTCTCACCAGATATTTAAGCAAAAACCGATTACAGATTAAACAGATGGTGGCTATCAGTCCCACCATTTACTAAATCTACTGGGAAACAAAGAAGAGAAAAATGTTTCTCACTTTGATATTACAAATAACATCTGCATAAACACCAAAATCAAACTGACAAAATAAAAAAGGAGTAAATTATTTCCATTTGGAAGTTTTACTTTGAAACATAATGCTTCCAAAAACCAAAGGCTTTCCATCCTAAGGTAAATTATGAAAGCAAGTGTCTATATTTTATAAATCTTTTATTTTCAATTTGCTTTTCTATTCACCTATAAATTGTGGTCTACACTATGTCGATGCAAATTAGTACATAAGCAAGGCATAAAAGAGCAAAAAACAAGAGACAAATCACATAATTACTTAAACGCACCAACCCATCTTCATCGAACTGATGCTGTATAATGGTTTGGAGCCCAGCAAGGTCATGCAGGTCAGCTTTAAACCAGTAACTCTAGAGGGGCAAGGTGTCAAACTGCCACATACCTAATTTCATCAGATGGCTACTCCATCACAATGACCACCAATTCGACTACCATTAGCACGCCCTGAGGGAACTAGTACGCAGAGTCATCATCATATTATCAACACAAGCCCTATGTAGAAGGTGAGCCTGACATAGTCTTATGCACTAAACAACTACACTTAATGACCAACAACTAGAAAGTATATTGTCCAGAGTATTTTTTTTTTCTTGGTAAAAAGACCAGAATAAATGGTTATAGCAGACTTTCTCACTTGCCTTTCATCTGCCTGTGCAATTAATATTTTCTAAAAATTGATAAAGTTCTTGAATCTCTTCTCATTTGCTGATATCACAGATGATATGAGCTGGGATGTCAGCATTCCAGCTAGACAAATACCATGTTTCACTTTAAACATAAAACACGGGCTCTTAAAAATGCAAAAAATGGGCACTAAAAAACTAAAAGTACACATATAAACATTTAATTGCCTCAAGATTTGGCACTCCTTTTAAGATAACTTTGAAAGCACTTTCAATGTTGTATTTTATGGACTATGACTAGCAGAGGCTTGAAAAAGAGCTGAATTTTATCTATACTACCTCTAGTGATTGCAGCACTTTTGTTAATAACTAAGAAAAAGGAAATACAATCTCAAATTATTTTAAGGGGTTAATTAGATTGGCTATCTTCACTGATCAAAATCCGCCAGAGAAGTGGTTATATTTCACCTATGTAAGTACAGTGTGAAACAGCTGGGAGAAACTTGATTCTTTTGTGTCTTAATTCTACTTAAAGTTGAACACAATATTTGTGGAATAAGGTAACTTAAATAGTATAAAATTCACATAATGTCCAAGTTGGGAAAAAGGAACATTGAACTTGAAAATCCTGTAAAAACACAATTAAACCTGTGCCTATCCAACCTATCCATCTTTTTTACAACACTTGGGAAATGTGATCTTTCAGTTATACAGAATAACTGTTGTAATAGAAATGCATTACCTCCTTTGACAGCTCATTAATATTTTAAAAAACTCAGAGTGTTCATCCATATACTGAGCTAAAAATCTCTCTACACTCATGGGGGTCTCAGCAACTGGCCTTGATTCTATTCTCTCATCAAGTGTAATGCAAATCGAGACTACAAATGTATCCACTACTTCTTATAACAGCCTTCAAATATTTAAAAGAGAAAACAGGAATTAATATTTATTGAAAATTTACTGTCTGTGGCTGTTTTATGTGCTTTAGGTTTAATAGTATATTTAATCTCTGACAACTCTGTAAAATAGATATCATCATTCCCTCTGTCCAAATGACATTTCCAAACCAAGTCTCATAGAGGTCATATAATTAATGGTGCAAATGGAATTTGAATCCAGACTTGTTTGGCTAAGAAAAAGGCCTTGCTTGTTTCTCTACCCTCTGCTACCCCTCGTCTTTCACCAATTTGTAAACATGTAAGTTAATAACAGTAAATTTATTGTAATTATAGTAACAGAGTTATTTAGCATTTTATTTAATACTAAAAATATATAATTTTTTAATTCTTGAGCATATAGTAAGAAAGTATAGATGATTGCTGCCCCCAGTTTTAATCATTACATTAAACAATTTGACGTTGAGTCTGTTCCAGTTCTAACAAACGTTTGGACAGGTTCAGAATGAAGACTCATTCTAAAATGTCAGATTTCAAGCACTGAACTATCTGGTTCAGAGTTGTAACTATCTGCTACAATTGCTGTGATTATTGTGCTTTTTAAGCATTACTCTGAGACAGAGTAATAAGCTAAGTATTAAATGACAGCTCATAAATCACAGTACTTCTTTTCAGATATACTTTTCAATTTGAATCACAGTTCCATAAATAAAAAATAATAAAATTATAATTTTTCTATGAACACAAAAGTCAACATAATTTGACTTAATATCCATCTCCAGCCCCAACCTCTCCCCTGAATTCAACTCATACGTTCAATTGCCAACCCAACAAGCTTCAGTGGAGGTCCAGACCTGACCACTGAACTCTTCCTACGTACAGAATGAACTCTCTTTCCCTTTCCACTCCTCCTCAACAACCCCACTCTGTCTGCAGACTTCCTCACCTTAATACAGGGCAACTCCACTCTGCCAGTTCCACAGTTCTCTCACATCCCACGTCAAGTCTGTCAGCAATTCCTGTTCACTCTTCCTCCAAAATATATCCCACAGCCACTCCTCACTACCTCCACGAGAGCCATTCTGGTCCAAGCCACCAGCATCTCTCCCCTGGACTACTGAAATAGCTCCCAACTGGCTTCCTGATCCCCTACAGTTTATTCTCAACATAACAGCCACTAGAGATCCTAATAAAACATAAGTCAGATCATGTCAGTCCTCTGTCCAGAACTATGTGCTTCATGACTCATTTAGCATAAAGCAGGAGTTCTTAAACGGTCTATAAAACCCTACATCATCTGGTAGGCAGCTACTTCTTGGAGCTTCTCTTCAGACCACTCTCTTTGTACCTGCTATTCCTAGAACATACAGCAATCATCTCACCTTGGGACCTTTGTCCTTACTGTTCCCTCTATCTAGAACATTCTTCTTCCAGATATTCCACATGGCGTGCTCCCTCACCTCCTCTGGTTCTCTCCAAATGACACCTTATCAATAAGGATGCTACTTGTTCTCTGTTGCTGCCCACCAAAATATAAACTTCATGAAAACATGTTTGTTCACTACTATACTCTCAGAACCTAGAAGAATGTTTGGTTCACAGCTGGTGCAAAATTAGGATCTGAATTTTTTTTTTTTCAAGATTTTATTTAGAGAGAGAGAGGGAGAACTCAAGCAGACCCCGTGCTGAGCGTGGAGCCTGACATGGGGCTCAGTCTCATGACCCTGAGATTATGACCTGAGCCGAAATCAGGAGTTGGAGGCTTAACTGATGGAGCCACCCAGGTGCCCTTAGGATCTGATTAGTTTTGTAAATTTCAAGGAAAATGAAGAGAAACCTTTATTCTAGGAAAAGTAAACATAACTATAGCTAACATTTGTTATCACTAATATTGATGACAACTTATGAATTACATTAAACAATGACAAAGAAAACATAGGGGAGCTTTTTCATAATGTATTACCAAAAGGCAAGGTACTAGATACATCAGGTGTAATTTTTTACTCTTTATCCCTTAAAATGCCAGACAGAGCCAAAGATAGCCACATACTATAAAACTGTTCTAAAAAGCTACATTTCTTCCCAAAGCAACTGTTAAAAAGAAAAAGCAATGCAATTTCTTGGCTTCCAAATACCTCACTATCAAATTCACAAATACTTTGTATTACTGTCATAATATAAGACAACTGTCCTCACTGATTTGTAAAACAGCACTGTACAAAGATGAACCTTTAGGAGCTAATGCAATTAGCTTGAAAATTGCTACACTGAAGCAGATATATTTGATCTGGGAAGTCTTGCAAATATGAGTCCCTCACTATTCTCCAATTCCTAGTGTTTATAGATTCAAGTAAGAAAGAATAGCATAATTTTAAGGGAACATGATATGGTAATAAAACATTAGCGAAATGTAGAAAACGGGCGCCTGGGTGGCTCAGTCAGTTAAGCGTCTGCCTTCGGCTCAGGTTGTGATCCAGGGTTCTGGGATTGAGCTCCACGTTGCTCCCCCCTGCTAAGCGGGGACCCTGCTTCTCCCTCTCCCTCTTCCCCTCCCACCCCTCTGCTCATGAATGCACTCTCTCTGAATCTTAAAAAAATGTAGAAAACAAAGAAAACATTAAGAGTGTATTATAGCTTGGAAGACAATTTAGGTACATATAATTTGGTAGTTCAAGCAAAGATATGTCAAACACATTGCATTGGTTGATATCTTAATAAATCTAAGCACCAGATTCAATTTTTTAAGACTTAAATCATTCCTGAGAAATAAAACCAGATTCTCATACTCAAAAAATAAGTAGATCTCATCATGAATTCTGTAGTTCTATAAAGATTCTCTAATTAACAAGAAAAATGTTTCTGATGTACCAAGAGAAAAAAGTGATATAAATTATACATACATATATTCATAATAGGATTACAATTATGTATTTTTACAAACCAGACATGGCTATGTAGAGTAGAAAAAAGGGTTAGAAGGTAAAACAATAAACTATTAATAATAAATTTTATTAGGAGGGTAGGAGTAAGAGTGACTTTTCTTACAGATTTTAATGATTACATTAATAACTATTACTTTATACCTCAAAAATAACAATCCAATACTTTTGGAAGTTAATCAATTGTAGAGAAAAGCTGTAAGAAGAAAAACGTGTCACAGGGTACTTTCTGCCCCCATTACAACAGTGGTTCTCAGTCTCAGTGTTGTAGTGGATACTAAGTTGTTCTTTCTAGCACTTGTATTAAAGCAAAACAAAAGCAACCCCCAGGAGACATTCTTACCCACCACATTCAACGATGCCGTCCCTGGGGGATGTGGGAGTGTGCCCTTCCATTCACGCTGAGACCTGTGTGGTGCGTCCAGCGTAGGAGCCCCATCCTCTGCAAGTGCTGCAGCAGGTGTGTTGGGACAGAAACAAACCTGAGACCCCCATCATAGGTCCACAGAAGAGTGAGCAACCGCTTTTTCTACTTACTTTCCCATTGCTGACAATACCTATCTCTCCAGGACGCAACTTAAGTACATCTTGACAGAACAGCTGATGAGTTTGGAAAATATTCACTCCAACAGTGCTATATTTTTTCTCAAAAGCATTCTTATCCATCCCCTAAAGCATAGATTAAGAAGGATATAATTAGTAAAATATATTAAATCATTTTCTTAAAGCCTGCTTTAATATATTAATGCAAAATTTGAAATTATTCTAAATCTTGATTTTTAAAAGTACTATTTTCTTCTGCAACACTAAAAAAAGAATATTTCTTCCAAGTCAATTACGGTATCTGTACATCTTGTTACAAGTAGATATCATATGTCATCCATTCTTTGAAAATTTCAGGTGGATTATTGATTAGTAATATGCTAGGGGACATCAACGTAAATAAAATTTAACATTAAAGAAATGGAACAAATGTTTATTAAATTCTGAACTCAGTATCCCCATTTGGTACACTCGGTAAAAACAACTGTCTAAAATAGAAATACCCTCTCTCACCTCATTCTACCAATCTCACAAAACCAATTTAGTAATAATGCATTTTATTTCTGAAATACACAAGTAACCCTTGGTTAAAGTAAAAAAAATATATGAACATTCACAGAAAATAAACCACGAATAGGTTCTTCACATCTTCACACTAAGACACATTTCTCCCTATCAGTACTTATCAAACTTCAATGTGCCATCACCTGGTGCCTTGTTAAAATGTAGTTCCTACTTCGGAAGATCCAGGGTGAGGCCTTAAATTTTGAACTTTTTTTTTTTTTAAAGATTTTATTTATTTATTTGAGAGAGAGAATGAGAGACAGAGAGCAGGAGAGGGAGAAGGGTCAGAGGGAGAAGCAGACTCCCTGCTGAGCAGGGAGCCGGATGCGGGACTCGATCCCAGGACTCCAGGATCATGACCTGAACCGAAGGCAGTCGCTTAACCAACTGAGCCACCCAGGCGCCCTAAATTTTGAACTTCTAACAGGTTCTTGGGTGTTCCCACGATGGTAGGAATGTTCCACTGCACTGTCCAATATGGCAGCCACAGCCATGGACGGTCACTGAGCACTTAACACGTGGCTAGTATGACTGGGGCACAGAATTTAAATTATTTATTTATTTAATTAATTCTAAAAAATTTATTATTATGTTCAATTAGCCAGCATGTAGTACATCATTAGTTTTTGATGTGGTGCTCAACGATTCATTAGTTGAGTATAACACCCAGTGCTCATCACCACACGTGCCAGAATTTAAATTTTAACTTAATTTTAAGTTTTAAGGAACCACATTTAGCTAGTGGATACAGTAGTGGACAGTGCAGCCTTAGATCCTGCTTACTTCCAAAATCTCCATCTCAGTCATCCCGTCTCTGACCACAAGCTCCTGAATTTCCAGCTCATGCAACCTAGTGTCACCAGACCAACCATTACTCAATCCTTTCAGTCCTCCGCCCCTACCACTTATTTACTGTCCATCGTACCTCCCATAGTTTTCCTCCTATATGAGTTACACCACAAAGTCCCTTACCACAACAAAAACCTTCCATGCTTCGCTCCCTTGAATGCTTCCCTGAATTCACATTCACCTGGCAATTCCCCAACTCTGTTTAAACACAACTCTGCTTCCCCTGCAACTAGAACCAAATTGTTAATACAGCTAGAGAAAAACATGCAACTAATACTGATCTCACTTTCAATTTGGGTCACTAACATCAAGTGGGTCCTCAGAAACCTTCCCATGCTAATATATTTAATTCATGTGCTCACTCTCAGAATAATAAAAAATATGTGGCATTTTCTCCTCTTTCCTCAAACTTCTAATAATACCTACTCTTACTCTAATAATTGGCAATGACTGGAATTTCTTTTGAAAATGAATATAATTAGAAGTACTTCATCCTGCTACCACCAAATAAATCTACCCTTCTGCAACCATGCCCACACATTCTGCCTTCCTTCTGGTTAAAACAGATGAACAGTTCCTTTTCTTAAGACCAACAGTTAACACTTGTCCATTGGATCCTGGCACCTCTTCTCTACTCAAGAACTTTGCTCCTAACTCTGCTCCCATCTCTCTGTATCATCCTTTCTCATTGTTTGGATGGACTGTGTCCATTAGCATACAAAACAGTGACATCTCCCCAATTTAGAAATTCTTGACCTCAAGTCCCGTTCTAGATACAAAATATTTCTGTTTGTGGTAAAATTAAAGTTTCTTAAAAGAGCTACCTATACTCACTATCTCTATTTCCTGGTTTCCCATTCTCTTTTCAATCTAGTTTACTTTTATACCTACTATTCCACTGAAACAATTCTCATCAATGACCACCTTAACAAGTAAATGGTCAATTATGAAGCCTAATTTCAGGAACGTCTGGCATAGTTGATCATTCCCTCCTTGAAATATTTTCTCCAACTGACTTTCAGGATACCATACACTCCTGGTTATCTTCCTAACTTGTTGGCTGCTCCATCTGTCTCCTTTACTGGATCAGCCTTTTCTTGCATACTTCTATATGTTGGAATGTTCCAGGGCTCTGGTTTCAGCCTCTCTTCTCTCGCCCAACTCACTCCTGAGGTATCTGATCCAGTTTCTTGGCTTTAAGTTATATAGAATACTGGTAACTCTCAAAGTGTCTGACTCTAAAAATACCCCGACAACCCTGAATTGATTTCTACACTCATTAACTCAATTGTCAACCCAACATCTCCACTCGAATGTCCAACAGGAATCTCCAACATGTACAGACTTAACTCTTGATCCCTTATGTGTCCAAATCTTCTCTTCATCTAGACTTACCCATCTCAAAAAAAAGACACCACCATCAACTCAAGCCACTCAAGCTAAAATTTAAGGATATTACATTTTATGTCACATACAATTGATCAGCTAATCCTGTTGACTAGAGTTGTAACAAATACTATGCGCCAACTGCCTCACTATCTCTACCACTAGTACCTAGTCCAAGACACCATTATTTCTTGCCTGGATTATTGCAATAGCATTCTAACTGTTCATCTTATTTCCACTCTTGTCTGCCTGCTACCAAATCTTCACATGGCATCCAGAGTCATCTTTTTAAAGATTACTCACTTCTTCAAGATTCCTCAATGGTTTCCCATTATACTCAGGAAAGACTTCAGTTCCTTACCATGGCTGACAGGTGCTTGAGATAACTGGGTTCTGTTCCTGACCTCATCTCCTTGTACTCGCCACATCACTGTCTCTATTTTGCTCATAATGATCTTCTGCCTATACCTCAAACCTGGAAAGCTGATCACTGTAGCAGTCCTTTAGACTTACTGTGTTCCTGAATCTGGTACATTCTTCTCGCAGATTTTCCATGGCTTGATTTCTCATTTCAGACCTCTACTTAAATGTAAACTCTTTAGAGATGCCTTCCCTGACCCCTCCAGCTAAAAGAGCATCCCTCAAACTATCTACCCTCTTCTTTCTTTATATTGTTCTAGTACCATTCAGTTTGTCTGTCCTTCCTACTATCATGTAAGCTTCACAAAAGCAGGGACTCAGGGGCACCTGGGTGGCTCAGTTGTTGGGTGTCTGCCTTCGGCTCGGGTCATGATCCCGGGGTCCTGGGATCGAGCCCCGCATCGGGCTCCCTGCTCGGCGGGAAGCCTGCATCTCCCTCTCCCACTCCCCCTGCTTGTGTTCCCTCTCTCGCTGTGTCTCTCTCTGTCAAATAAATAAATAAAATCTTTAAAAAAAAAAAAAAAAAAAAAGCAGGGACTCAATATATCTGCCTTGTTCACAAGTGTATCTCCACCGTCCGGCAGACAATCAGAAAATATTTTTGAAAGGATTAATGAATCTTCCTTCTTGAGGATCATCTTCCATCTTTAGAATTTCCCTCATACTGGATCCCTTCAGGGAAATACCTATTATTTACATAATCCTTTAACTCCCATTTTTCATTTAAGTACATGTGCTAACCAGAATGCCATCAACTTCAAGGATCACAAAGTGGTAGTAGTAATATTTGGTTTGCTAAAAGTCTTGATGCAAAGTCATATCATTTAATATTTATCTTTTTCCCGTATGAAGGAATGTTTATTATGCCCAGTTGATTATACTTATTTATTGATGTTTTTCAGGAACATGGTAACACTGGCTTACACTTCTTAAATATGCAACAGATACTTATTATTCCAAACAAATAGCTACTGACCTCAGTAAGAAATGTTTTAATTTTTTCTCCGGAGTAAATAGCCGTAGCAGTTTCTTCCTTTGCCAGTTTCCTGAGAAAGTTTCTCAAAAAGCTGTTTTTCTGTGTAAGAAAAGCTGCCAAAACTCCTCTAGAAATAGCTGTGTTCTCTTCATTTATTTTTGAAGTAGGATTATAAATAACCCCCAACCGACTATGAACACTTGTTTTCTGCAAAACACATTTATAGGTGAAAAAGATCAGTATCTCGCATATCTTTGTACAGCTGAACTTTTTTCTTTCTCATCAAGTTTGTTCAGTTTACCACACAGTATCTTTCACTGTAGATGATTTACCACACAGCATCTTTCTATGTGGACTGTCCTGAATGTGCACCTACTAACATAGCCTAAAAACAGCCATTGTAGTAACTCTAAGAGCTTCACCTCTTTGTATAAAGAGTGTTTTAGAATGCAGTGTTGTTTAACCTCTTTTTGTGTGTGAAGTAACACATATAAAACAAGACACAAAACATAAGTGTAGAACTCAATGAAATTAGCCCATAAAACTGTAACTCAGGTGGAGAAACAGAGCACTGTAGGCAACCCAAAGTCATCTCTCATATACCCTGCCCGTTACTACACCTTCCCACTTTTCTAGAAACAACCACTACCCTGTTATTTATTGGTTGTATCATTCTTGCTTCTTTCTGGTTTATCACCTAAGTTTCATCATTAAACATTTAATCTATTTTGAACTTCATATAAATATAATCCTATGGTGTGTATTCTTTCCTGTCCTGTTTCCACTTAACATATTGATTGTGAGATTTATCAACATTGTTTTGTGTGGCTGTAGTTACTTTACTTTTTAGGATTGTACAGAATTCCATGATATGAATATACTCTATTTTATCCGTTCTACTGATGCTGGGCATTTGAATTTTTTTTTCATTTTGGTACTCTACAAACAGAGCAAGAAGAATACAGCACCAGCCATGAAGTCTTCTTGCCAGAACATGTTGAAGCTGAATCTAATTAAGCTTCAGACATAACTTCCAGTACAGAGGAGATGTAAGGGCTAAAGAACAAGTTAAAAATACTACAAGAAAACAAACAAACAAACAGTGAAATTCAGAATGTGGGATTTTTCTACAAAGCAACTAGCTTGGTCTCTTTAAAAAGTCACCAGACAAAATGTAGATGTTACTGTTTTACAATAAAAGAAACTAATGAAATTTAATAATGAAATGCATTGTGGGAAAAATGTTTGGGTCCTGGTTTGAAAAAAGAAAAGACATCTTTGTGGGAACAATTTAATGAAGACTTAGTACTAACAATGTGAGAGTGGTATTGCAGTTACGTAGAAGAATACCCTAATTCTTGGAAAATGCATGTTGAAGTATTAAGGGATGATATATGCTGATTTCTACAACTTTTTTTTTTTTTAAGATTTCATTTATCTATTTGACAGAGAGAGAGACAGCGAGAGAGGGAACACAAGCAGGGGGAGTGGGAGAGGGAGAAGCAGGCTCCTCACCGAGCAAGGAGCCTGATGCGGAACTCGATCCCAGGACCCTGGGATCATGACCTGAGCTGAAGGCAGATGCCCAACGACTGAGCCACCCAGGCGCCCCTGATTTCTACAACTTACTTTAAAATGATCTAGACCATTCCTGCCCTTCCCCCCACAAACAGTTAATTAGATAAACCAAATATGGCAAGATGTTAATAATTATAGAATCTAGGTGTTAGGTATGTAAGTGTTCATTACATCAGTCTTTTGAACTTTGTGTAGTTTTGAAAGAAAACATGGTCTTCAAAAAACAGACTCAGAGAGCCATAAGGAGAGGCCCCAGTAAGATAAAGGCAGAAGTTAAAAATAAGCTGGCTAAAATGAAATGAAAATGAGAGGCTGAAAATATAATACTGGAAAGAATGAAAGAATGAAACTCAGAGCTGATACCACAGATAATTCAATTAATGAACTAGATTCGGAGTCAGCAAATTACAGCCTGTGGGTGAAATCCCATCTGGAGCCTGTTCTTATATGGTCCTCCAGGTAAGAAAATGTTCGTTGAAATGATAGAGCAGCCACAGGTCTAACAGAGAGAATCAGAGAAAGAGACAGATGAAAAGAGCTGTCCTGGGATCACACTCATCCCTAAGGGTCTGTAAAACTGCATATATTCTACACTGGCCCCATTTAGGAAAATGAGAATGAGGCAGGGGACACACTTGGAGGCATTCCCTGAATAAACACTGCTGAATAAAAAGCTACTCTGAGGGCGCCTGGGCGGCTCAGTTGGTTAAGCGTCTGCCTTCGGCTCAGGTCATGATCCCGGGGTCCTGGGATCAAGTCCCGCATCGGGCTCCCTGCTCAATGGGGAGTCTGCTTCTCCCTCTACCCTTCCCCCCTGCTCGTGATCTCTCTCTCTCTCTCTCTCTCTCTCTCTGAAATAAATAAATAAAACCTTAAAAAAAGAGAAAAAGCTACTTTGACCAGGCAACTCCGAGGAAGGCAGGTTTAAAAATAATTATTAAATCTATTCTGGGCAGTCTGGAAGACTTCATGCCAAAGGCTGGATCTTCTCAGGAGTAATGAGAAAGAGAAATTCCAAGACATTATTCCATGGGTGAATGTGGGGCAAAATCATAAAATCCCTGAACTGGAAAAGTAGCCTTTAAGTCAAGTACACATCCAACAGTAAACGGTGAACATCTAACCACTTACGGGGACTTAAGCACAAACTTTGAGCGGTAACTGGCTTTTGCTGACTCAGAGGCAGTCTCTAGGAAACCAAGATAAAAGATAAAAACAAGGAAAAAAGTCTAAGCAGGAACATCAGAGATAAACAATGAGAGAGAAACAGACAACAGAGTTAGCTCAGTCACATCACTAAACAAATAAACGAATGATCAAACAAACAACGGGTAACCCTGGGGATGAGGTGATATTGGTATCCATATGTGCTCTGTATTATCTAAAATGTTTGGTTTTCAATAAAAAAATTATGAGATAAGCAGTTAAACAGTAGAGTATGATTTATGCAAAGGAAAAATACCAAGCATTAGAAACTATCTTTGAGGGGCCTTAGATAATGGTCTTAAGAAACATATAAATATGTTCAAAGAATTAAAGGGAACCATGTTTAAAGAATTAAAGGAGAGTATGGTAATAATAGTTATTACACTGAGAATAATAAGAAAGAGATAGAAATTATAAAAAAGAACCAAATGGAAATTCTGGAGTTGAAAAGTAAAATAACTGAAATGAAAAGTTCATTCAGAGGGGTTCAACAGATTTGAGTTGGCAGAAGGAAGAGTCACTGAGTTTAAAGATAAATCCATAGAACTAGAATCTAAAAAATAGAATGTAAAAAGAATGAACAAAAATTAATAGATCCTCAGAGAAATGTGGGACACCATTGTAACTATTGGGAAAAGGCAGTCTGTCAGCCTCGCAAAGAACATGCTACCAGAAATTCTTGAGAAGAAAGAGAAGGAAGAAGTGACGTATTCCATAGATCCCAAATACCACTTTTTGGAATGTGCTGGTCTGAAGACCACTTAAAGAAGGCCACAGTATGTTCTGAGATTATCTAACATGACATGAAAATTCTCCTAGCTAATGTTATATTTTGTTTAACATGTATTAACTATTTTTGATGTGGTAGAGCACCTCCAAGATGGCCCCTAATAATCCCCACTTCTTTGTACTCATGCTTTGTACTTACTCAGCTGAGTCACTCCTGAATTTTTAAACCCCAGACACTGGGAAAAAGAAATGTTTGTTGTTTTAAGCCATTAAGTTATAGGGTAATTTGTTATCAGCAATAGATTTACACTTAGCTAATATAAAACAATTTCATAAAATGTTTTGGTTTATGTTTCTTAGGTGTTTTTAATCTAGACAGATTTTTATGCTCCCATAGAAATAGAGAAGGTTATAAGAGTTTTTTGGGTTTTCTTTGCTTGTTTTTCTTAGAGAGAATGACAGTTGGGAGGGGGAGAGAATCTTAAGCAGGCTCCACACCCAGTGCAGAGCCCAACCAGGACTCAATCCCATGAACCCTAGGTCATGACCTGAGCTGGAATCAAGAGTCAGACGCTTAACTGACTGAGCCACCCAGGTGCTCTATATAGAAATGTATCCTACTGAAGTATATTGGTTTGTAATTCTCTAATAACAAAATAATTAAGGTTGATTTAAGGCTTAAAATACTCTTCAGTGAGATAAATTTGTTTTTTCTTAAATATTCAGAGAAATAAAGTGCTGCCTGATAACGTGATGAAAAATTTCTATTACGAATTGCTATTATTGCTATTGGTAAAAAGCAGATTTGGGGTCATCGATGTAATGGTAGGGTCTAGAACCATTCACTCTGATTTAATAGCCTTTTTATAACTGCTAAATCTTAGTTTTGGCTGCTACAACAAAGTAACCACAAACAGGGTGGCAACAACGGAACTGAAATTTATTTCCTACAGTTCTGGAGACTGGAAACCTGAGATCAGGTGCTAGCCTGGTCAGGTTCTGGTGAGGACCCTCTTCCAGGTTACAGATTATTGATTTGTCCTTGTATCTACACAAGATGGAAAGAGAGTGAGCAAGGTTCTCTGACCTCTTCTTACAAGAGCGCTAATCCCATTCATTAGGGCTTTACCTCATGACCTAATTACCTCCTCAAGGTCCCACTTCCAAATACCATCACACTGCAGATTAGATTTGAACATAGGAATTTTGAGGGGGAGTTCCTGTCTTAAGTTTCCTTAGCAACAACTTGAGGTACTTAAAATGTTAATATGGAGGGGAATAAAGATTTAATGCATGTTCTTCATTTGGCTTTCTCAGAATTAACAAAAAATTAAAATTTTTATAGTAAGAATATCTAAATACTCACCATGAATTTTAATGCATTAAACAGTAGTTTTCGCCCAGATGGTTTGTCAAAATCAGCAATAATCCAGAGAGTAACTGAAGAAATTACATCATCCTCTGAAAGTTTCAAATAGTTTAGTCAAACTACCTCTTTTATTTTTTTTTTATTTTTATTTTTTTTAAAGATTTTATTTTTTTGACAGAGAGGCACAGCGAGAGAGAGGGAACACAAACAGGGGGAGTGGGAGAGGGAGAAGCAGGCTCCCCGCGGAGCAGGGAGCCCGATGCGGGGCTCGATCCCAGGACTCTGGGATCATGACCTGAGGCGAAGGCAGACGCTTAACGACTGAGCCACCCAGGTGCCCCCAAACTACCTCTTTTAAAAATCAAGCTAAAAGCAGGGAACATTTCTAGTTAACTACATACATTAAAAAGTATTAAAATATTAAACTTAATTTTTTAAAAATACGCAAATATTGTTAAAGATTATGCACACATGCACATACACTGACATGCATATAAAAATACTAGAAGAGTGTTCTATAGGTTTATAGAAACTCAGATGCCAAAAAGAAAGAATAGTCCCTATGGGACATATCTGTGGAATACTTTTATTAGTAGACAAAAATTACATTATGCTTATTATGTTTTCAGTGTTGGAAAGCAAAACTACCTTCCAGCTACAGCTACATTCTTTTTAAACTGATACTTATACCCCACTATATGTAAAACTAGATACAATAAAGCTTATCAGTAGATATTAAAACAGCAATATTTTATTAGCTTACAATTCATTTACTTCAAAACGTCTGGCTATCATTAACTTGGTCTAATCTACATCATCTTGTGCCATCAACAGCAATACAGTTATTTTCTTCAGAAAAATTTGAAAATTTGGAAGCCACAAAGAGAAACAATTTTTAATTCTGAAGTCAGTTAAATGGGTTTAATTTCACCTAGGCTCAGCATCTGTCATCTGAAATAATACTTTTCTAGCCATCATTAAAACCTATAGAAAAATTAGTCCCTCTGATCACATGACCTACTTAAAACAAGTGCAAAAAATCTGGTATACCAGAAACTTACTCCTGAATAGAAGTGAGGCTACAGTTACTACCATACTCAGGAATATCTATACAATATTATATAAAAACTGTAACAAAAAGAAGGTTAACATTGAGTCCACATTGAAGCAACTTAAGAGTAAGGCAGTAGTGGTACGTTCTTTTCAAAGAAAAGTAAAGAATTTTTTTTTTTTTTTATTTGAGACAGAGAGAATGAGAGACAGAGAGCATGAGAGGGAGGAGGGTCAGAG